TGACCGTCGATATCGTGCCCTCTTTCGCGGCTCTTGCACCTGACGTTTCCAGTCGTTCCGTTCGATCGAATCCCTGATAAGCGGAGCACTCGGCTTTCGACGTTCTTTGCATCGGTTAATCGACGGGTATTAAAATGAAGCCAAGTATAGCGACGCCGGATTACAAAAGTTATTGGAAAGTACTTGGGAAAATGCGAGCCACGTTATAGAATCGACAGAGAAAATGACGAACGATGTACCTTTGTACAGAGTGCTCCAAAAACTCGCTATCTGCAAACGAGGACCGCCCCGAGGTCGCTCGAAGCAACCTTTATTTCTTAGCGAAAATGCATTTTGCGACTTTGTTTAGGAGTTGTTATCGAAAAACACTGGCCAATAAGAGGCGCGCCAATTAATCTCGCCTCTCATTGGTCACTGTTCTTCGTTAACAACTCGTAAAGTAACTTCGAATGACCTCGAGAACCCCCATTTCCAGATTGCGAGACATTTCTTTCTCGCAAGTATCCGATTCGCCTCAATTTGTATACAGAGTGTCCCAAAATTATGGTACTTCCGGGAAATTAGAGATTCCTGGAATCACATTCGAAGCAACTTTTTCCTTTACAAAAATGTTCTCCGAGTCGTCGTTGATGAATTATTAACGAAAAACACTGACCAATGAGAGGCGAGCTCGGCTGGCGCGCGGCGGCCTAGCCAACGAGCGCACGGAGCCCAGTTCCACTCATTGGCTTGGCCGCCTAACGGCAAAAGTGAGTTCATTGGTCAGTGTTTTTTGTTAATAATTCGTTAACGATGCCTCGGAGAAAATTTTTGTAATGGAAAAAGTTGTTTCAAATCACCTCAGGAATCCCTCATTTCCCGGAAATACCATAATTTTAGGGCAGGGCCCGCTAGAAGAGCCTTACCGACGAGTCCTCTAGAGGGACTCGAACGAAACGCTCTCCCTCTCTTTTCCGTCATTTTATCAGCCGCCAAAACACGTAATATAACCTTTACTTTACAATATGTGAAGAACACCTTATCAAGTCAGATTAAATCTAGCTAGTTATAAATAGATCCGACTTAACCAGACTCTTGGTACTATGTTTGTCTATATCTCAGGTCTGATCATACCCGAATGAATCTAGCAAAGCCTGTGTTTGCTTAAGTTTTATCAGGTTTGATCGAGTTCCAGTAGGTTTGAATTACGGTCCAGTCGAATCGTGCTAAATCTAGCGAGGTTTAAGTAAATCAAAGTAGATGTAGCTTATTCTCTGACTCGATGTACATCAGATCCGTTTATCTATTACATTTAACCAATCCCGAATTCTGTCTGACCATATTTCACCGAATCTAGTCGAGTTCGACCGGATCGAGCCAAGTGCCCCAATACCGTCTAATTCCGATTTTATTTATCCCGATCTAATTACTATCGTCTCTGCTGTAACGTCCAATTTCAATATCCACAATGGGATCATCAAGATCTGCCGTGCATCTTCCTTGTTCGAACAAGAGGATGAGCATGATGCAGCTGACGGTGCACAATAAAGGCATTAGGTATTACCAGCACAGTGTTCCATAATTCCAGAGAGTTTCCTGCGGCGTTATCGTTTACATTCGGCCGTTAGCGCCTGAAACATCGAAGAGTCTTCCCGGGCTTTCGGCGTCGATGCGGATCAGGCAGTTGCAGTTCGGCGTTGGCATTAGAGGAAAGGCTGTTTGCGCCGAGCTGGAGCACCAGGGATCTCCGCGAAGCAATCCCGGCCCGATATCAAAGCCCGCGAATTAATTAATCGTACGTACGTTTGCAGAACTCGGTGCTGCCGGGCCCCGCATACACGTACGCGAACGTACGTATTTCTCTCGTTACCGAAAGATTATGTCGGATATAGCCGAGGCGTGCGCCGAACCTAATGATAATATTAATTTGCGAGCGGAAACGCGAGCTTCTCCCGTGGCGAATTCTACCGTTTCTCGTGCTCGCCGAAACTTTTACCTCCGCTCGATTCTTCGAACGCGTCCTGCCGCCGAAATGCCGCCCTAATTAAATGTATCGAGCGAAAAGAAACACCATCCGTCTACCGCATCCCTTTGTTCGCTGCACCATCGCGCGATCCATTATCTTTCAGTTGTTGTTGAAATTGTTCTTCGACAACGTCCAAAATTGTTTCGGGCAAAATGCTCGACCGGTCGTAGACCTGTCCGCGACGATTGCTGAACAATTACGTTAATACCTCGAGGTTCACGGTCCTGTTCCGCGTGTATGTTTAATGTCAAACAGAACGCAGCGAACTCGGTTGGGAATACTCGATGAAACCGCGCGCGAAGCAAAAGTTTCCTAGCGCTACCGTTTCGTCGATCGTAACTCGAGCGCTCGTCTGTTACGATGGAAAAATGGTGGAAACATTGAAGAGAAGATACTCGAATCTATTCGAATCTCCTGATTTCCACTTGAAACAACGTGAAAAACGTTTAAAAGGTTGCGAGTCTTCGTGTCCAGACGGACGATTCTAAAATAAACGACTGCAGATTCTAAACTTGAGATCGGCGATTTAATTGTGATTTTGATCACGATACGATTATACTAATCGTACAAGTTTTATCGAGAGAAAATTACGAGAGAAGAGGACGATCGCTGCAAATGTACCTGTTTGTTTTTTATTTAAAATTATCGATAACGTTATTGATTGTCCGGCGTTACTTAATTTAGTCGTCTTTAATGCTCCTGCTGCGCACTATGTATGTGCTCGCCTCTTTAAACTCGTGGAATTTTCATTGAACACCTTCCAAAAACTGTAACATATTTATTAGTAAACTAGTAAGTACAGTAAATTAATATTAGTAAACTAGTATACAGTTCTTTTCTGTGCACAATCCGAGCGTCAATTAGGGAGAATATTCTGTAATGCTATATAAAGCGATATTATATAAAAAACGATAGAACGTTGGAAATAAAATTACTCTGATTAACCCCTTAACGTGCACGCTCGAGTTAACTCGAGCGCGCTAAACAGGCCAAACTGTGCACACTCGAGATAATTCGAGCGGCGTTGTATTTTATGCTGCTATAATTTTTCACGCTCGAATATAATCGAGAATTGAAAATAAGAATGTGAAAGCAAAGAAAAAAAAATCGTTTTATTGATATTTATCATTAACATGGGCTATAACACTTATTTATTCAAGAATAAAATATAGCCTTTTTCCATGGAACAAAAGCGCAGTATATCAAAATTCCACCACGTCAATGTTTCACCAACACCAAAAAAAGAATCGGCCACAAGATATTGCGCTGTGTGTTGTGCTAAAAGAGATAGCAAAGGAAAAAGGAAAAGAAAAGAGAGTAGTTACATTGTGCAATAGTTGCAATGTTGGGCTATGCGCTGCATCTTGTTTCGAAATATATCACACAAAAGAAAATTTTGATTAATTTTAAAAATACTAGTATTGTTATTATTTATGTTTTAAAAGTATAAATAAATTTTTTTATCGACAATAATGTTTATTCTGAAATGGGAATTCGAAAAGAAAGATGAAAAAAGTCGATGTGCGTGTAATATTACAATATTCGACTATTTTCTCTGCAATGTTATCAAAATCCAAAATTGCAATAAAAATTTTGATCAGTTTTGTATTTTTGTAATTTTCTTGCCAAGGCAACGTTCTAAATTGTGTTTTTTTACATTAAAAGAAATTGATTTTTTCCAAAGAACTGTGCATTAAGGGGTCGAGTAAGATTTGATAAGAGATTGTATCGATACAGATTTCGAGAAATAAAAGTTATTAATTTTGAGAGTAACATAATCAACGGCAGTTTTTGTCGCGTCTCCTCTCAGGGGACATCCGAGTGCAAAGAGTTAATTAAAACCGATCATACGTTCTATAATCCCATCGGCACGTTCTGTATTTATTCCAGTTCTTCAGTCTCTGTACGTTGGGTGTTGAGCCTGTTATCGCAATGAATAAAAAATAAAACGAATAAATTAGAACTGCTCGGTCGGGCCACTCGAAATGGCCAATTTAATTTCGCAGTTCCACAAATTCCCGCGAGCGATAAAACGTCGAACAATATCGAACCTTAAACATCTTTCATTTCGGTGTGTTTGCCATCGCATCAAAGGTTTGAATAGCCATCGATGCTAAACGCGATATCGTTAATCCACTTGTACTCGATTCGCTCGAGCGTTGCACGCGTTACACGTAAAATCGCTCGTTAGCCGAACAAAAGTGTCCGATCTAGCTGCTGCCGCGAGTCGATTCGGCCGGCCGCGATCGCTTTGCAATACATAATTTCCCCTTTTCGGTAGGTCGAACGACGCCCAGAAATAAACTAGAGAATCTCTGGCCGCTCCGGCGCGGCGGTTACCAACGATTTTCGATGGTTCCTCGCCTGCCAGACAATCCGCGCTGATTCGGATGATCGAAATATGGCAACTGTAACGCGATCACCCATTCACCCGTTAACGACGGGACGAGTTAACTCGTCGCTTCTTCTCGACTACTTCAATTTCTCACGTCCCTAATACCACATTTATCGCCGTGAGATTATGGTTACCGTTCGTCGACTGTGCAGTGATCGGAGCAATTTACTGGATAAAATAAACACCGAGAAGTCGTGACACGCGATATCAATTGATTGTTCGATCCTCTTGCATAGAGAAAATCAAAAATTTATCTTCGAAGTTTGGACAAATAAATCCACCGGCGACATACGTGTGACACAACTGTCGACGCGTCCCATCATTCGACGCGTTTCTCGAAATTCAACGAATGACCAAATTCGTGCAATATCTGTAGGTGCTGCGAATACATCGTTATCGATAAATAAACGATTAAAGACACTAAAGACTAATAAATCATCCTGCTTGAATCTTTGGAGCAGTTTACTAGAACCTTCAACGAGAACTAATTCGATTCGCGGCTCCTTAAACGTTGCTCTACACCCGATCTCTAAATCATCGATCTATGAAATAATAGATTCAGGATTCAAATAGGCGAAGTTGTAAGGAAAGAGAACTCACGTGTTCGTCGTAGCTGATGGCCAGTTCTCGATCCTCGGTCCTTAAAGCAGCCAGATGCGATGAGAGCACGCGCTCGCGACGATCTGTTGACCAAACACGTCCATCGCTTCTCTTCCCATCTGGATTCTCATCCTCGATCCACGAACCAATCGATCTCTTCGGTCCATCCAATCAGCTCCTCCTAATCTTCATCGACCGCGGACCATCGCGTCCTCCGCCTCGGGTGATCGTCCTGGTGCCAGGTGATCCTCAGTCAACGACTCCGTCGAGATCTAGCGCTGCGTCGATGGCCACGTTTTGCTCCCCGATCGTCCGCCAAACGCATCGATCCTCAAACCCACAAACTCACTGGTCGAAGCCCGACGAATTCCTCGATGGTTGCTGATATACAGAAAATCTTGCAAGTCCGCGACGCTCGCGGCTCTCCGAAGGATCTACGAGATCCCGCCGCGTCCAGGCTGTTCCGCGAGCTATGCCGATCGGCTGGGACTTCGTCGAGAGCCGTCTCCGCGTTTCGATGAATCGAGATCGATGCGTCCTGGCACCAGGACTCGCCGATCCTCCGCGATCTCTTGGCCTCTGCCCGGAGGAATCGAGACTAGTCGTTTGCTCGTAGCACACGTGGAGCGAACGTGCGTACTACGTGCGTGGGTGGTAGCGTACTACTGAGTTTCACGCTCGCGAAAAGCCAATCCCGACTCAACCCCACCACCGACCATCCGAGCGCCCTTCCAGACCCCAAGTCGCCACCAACCCCCTCCCCCTTCGACGCCCTCGCTCGCTCCTGAAAACGAGTTTGCGCCCCAGACTTACGCCAAAAGCATTCTCTCTCTCTCTCTCTCTCTCTTCCTCGCTTTTCTCTCGCTGCTTTTTCTCTCCGCTACCAGCCTCCTGAATCCACACCCCTCTCCCGTCACCCAGCGACGCTTTCTTTTCCCGATTTCCTCGGCCTGTTCCTCGCGACGCCGACACCACCACGGTGATTCCATCGCGACACCAGCTAATGCTGCTTCTCGGCGCTCGTTTCTGTTTCGTCGATTTTCCAGCAGATCCGAAGAACTCGCTCGCGCCTCTCTTCTTTTTGTCTGTCTTCGGAAGATGGGGCCGCGGATTTCGGCTCTTCCCTGTGCGGAAGTTGACTGGATTTTTCGTTTTTATTAGCTCGTACCACCGGTTCCTGCTGCGAATATGCTTACGCTGCTCGCGGAGTGTTTGCGAATACGGAACGATAAACCACCGAAAGATAAGAGTTTATCAATGATCGTGTTTAGCGGACGGCAAGCTGTTCGTCTTTCATGCCGCGAGATACCATGACGATTAATCATTTCCGGTAGCTAGTGCGGTACTAGATTTGTTAATGAAATAGAGCAACAGTTGCCGCAAACAATATTTGCGCTTTGATCGCGAAATTTTCGGTCGACCGTGTTTTCGATGTACGACTGAATTAGGCGAGCACGCTGGTGGATGACGCGAAATCGGTTCGAGGGATGTCCGTAATTTTCGTACAACCCAATATTATCGTCCATTTAACTCTCAGCTCTCGATGCTTCGACTATTTAACTCTAATGTGAGCTGTTTGAGTTCTGACTCTGTCGATCCTTTGATGGCGATGATTTTTCCAAGTGTCGACGAACATTTTCCACGGAGAACTAAATTTTCTATCAAAGATTTAAATAACGGGGATTTGTCGCTACGCACACAAACGAAATACAACTCTAGAAAAATGTCAACCCAGCATGTTAATTGTAACCGTGAAGCACTCGGCTTAATTTTACCCTCGATTTTAATTCGCCTGTCAATTGGGCGATATCGGCGAATCGGCAATATCTTTGCTTCGGAGAAGAAACATTTGCATTTCGAGAACTAGAATTTTCCTTCTCCGGAAAGTATCCTTTCTTCTTCCAGTCCCCGCTTCTGGAGAAGTTTGCGGTCCTCCGCCAATCTAATTGTCACTCTCTGCTCTTCTCCGTTTTTCTCGATCTCCGCAAGGATCTACGAAGTTCGGTCGACCGTCTTTTTCGTTTTTCTTTTTGTTAGGGAACAGCACGCTGGAAGCGCATTTGCATACGGAGATTCGATCTTTCTATCTTGGAATGTTTCTAAGCTCTTCTTTTTTATCATTATCCGATTGGAAATGCAATCGTGGCCCTCCGCCGATGCGATTGTTACTCTCGATTCTCTTTTCCGTTAATTCGAGATCCCAGAAAATTGATACTTATTATTTTCCTTGGAAGGGGACCCTGAAAGTGTCGTGCCTCGGGAATCTGATTTCATTCTCCTCTGTAGAAGGTTAATTCTTTTTTATTGGGGAAGCGTTTGCGGCACTCTCCGTTTGTTTCCATCGGCTCTCCTCTTTGTTAATTCAATTTCGCAGAGGATCGAAGAAATTGATGAACGATCTTTTCCTTGGGAGAAAGAGGATCCTGGAAAATGAACCTGCTGCTGGAGATTTGATTTGCGTCCTCTAGCAAGCTATTTGTTATTCGCAATTCTCCTCTTCGTTTTTCCAATTGTCGAGATGATTGAAGTTCCATTTTTTCTTCTTCAAGGTTTATTCATTTTTCTGTCTAATCGGATTGGGAAGCGTTTAACTTTCCTTATTAATCTATTTATTATTTCTCGCTTTAATGTTCAAATTTTCGGAACGAGTCAACGTGCTCGCTATAGTTTCATTATTTCTTTTTGGAATCTTGAAGGTTTATTCATTTCTCTTTCTAATCGGACTGGAAAGCGTTCAAATTTCGCTATTGATTACTTTTTCTTTTTCTCTATTTATTATTTTCCACTTTGTTGTTCAAATTTTCGAAACGAGCCAACGTAATCACTATAGTTTCATTATTTCTCTTTGGAATCTTGAAGGTTTATTCATTTCTCTTTCTAATCGCACTGTGGAAAGCGTTTAACTTTCCCTATTAATTACATTTTTTTCCCTATTTATTATTTTCCACGTTGTTGTTCAAATTTTCGAAACGAGTCAACGTGCTCGCTATAGTTTCATTATTTCTCTTTGGAATCTTGAAGGTTTATTCATTTATCTTTCTAATCGGTTTGGAAAGCGTTTAACTTTCCCTATCGATTACTTTTTCTTTCCCTATTTATTATTTTTCGCTCTATCGTTCAAATTTTCGAAACGAACCAACGTAATCGCTATAGTTTCATTGTTTCTCTTTGAGATCACGAAGGTTTACCAATCTGTCTTTTAAACCGCGTAGAAAAGCGTTTAACATTCTTCATTAATTTATTATTTTTTCGCTTCGTTGTTCCGATCCTCGAGAAGATCAATGATATTCTTTACGTTTGATTATCTTTATCTTTAACCAAGGAGCCGCGGTTTTCCTTTCTACTTATTTCTTGACTACGTTGTACACAAAACTATCGAGTCCGTGCAAACAAAGAAGAAGAAAGAAGCGACTACGGGTGTGTGTACACCGTCGAATCTCCGATCGAAGAATCGCTTCAAAGCCCGCCTCTTCTATTATTCGATCGAATCAGATTGTTGCTCGCGGCGCTCCTCTGTTTCCCCAAGATCCGAGAGGATCCAGGAATCCTCCAACGATCGATGCTCGTTCTTCCCTCGAAACGAAGAAACTAGAAGCGTTTTTGTCGCGCAGGATTTCACCTTTTTCTAAGAACCGTTTCAGCGTTGTTCTCGCTTTATCCGGCTCCTGCACTACCCTAATTGCTGCTTCCGGCGATCGATTTCGATTCCTAACGTTTTCGAAGACGCCTCTCTACGAACTTTCCACCTACATACGCGAGCATCTTTTTTCTGTAGAATCCCATTTCGAGGAAGACTGCGACGTATTCTTAACGAGGTGCTTTCTTAAATCAATCGTCCGTGTCCTCGGGGTGGTCCTCGCCCCTCCGATAAGATCGGCCATCGATAAGCTTATCGAATCGATATAAATCACGGGGAATCGAGGCTCCCCCTCGCCGTTCGACTCGGCTTTTCGCGTACTTAATGATCCTCGAGCGAACCGTTTCGATTCAAAACGCACTCGACCCTCGGTTTAGGGATGAAAATCGGGATGGTAATCCCGAAACCCGTTCTTCGTGGTCGAACTGGAGTTTTGGAAGCTTCACATTTTCAAAAAATCCCAAAATGTTAGCCGTTTTAGGTAATCGTGTGCGGAGGATTCAATCACGGTGAAGATAAAATTGAAAAATTTCAAGCGAACTAATTTGTTTATACGTGACTGTAATTATATTTTCATTATTTAATTGCTTCCCAAGAATTGCTTACTAATTTACTATTATTTACCATTTGCTATTACTTTTATTACTTTTATTACTTTTATTACTTATTTTGCTTATATACAATTACCATTGTTTACTATCTTCAATATTATTTACTATTATTTCCTCTAACAATCTAAACTTTGAGAAAACTCTTAAAAAAATATCTAAAAGCGTCCGACACAGGATTTGTTTCATATGAAAGCTTAGACAATTATGAAGAGCAACACGCAAATTTCAAGTACGACTACCTGGTGGACGACAACGAAGGTTCATCAGTATTCACTTTTCTAGAAAATAAAAAATTTCGAGAAAGATATTTCTATCAAATATACATTTCTTCCCTCGGTGATGCTCCGACTGTTGTCGACACGAATTCGATAAGCAACAATATCGTAACCAAGGAGCCTTGAAATAACGCTAAAATCATTTCGACCGCGAGAATGGAGCTCCAGCCGACGATGGTGGTCTCGGAGCGATAAGTCTGGGTACAAAGGAGGGAAATTAGGAGAGAAAAATGAAGTCGGCCGACGGTGAAAGTCGAGGACCAAATGTTAAGATAAACGAGCAGAGCGGCCGAACGAAACGAGAAGGGACAGGGACAAACGGTCCAGACTACGCCCTTGAGGGAATGATAAATACCGGGCGCCGATAAACACTCCGAGATCCAGAATTATGGATCCTCGTTGAAACGTCCGAGAAGACGTCGATTCTACGTGGGGACAAGTCGATAACTCGATCGGCGGCCGCTAATAAACTTCGGGAAAGAAGAATGAAACACAATAGGGGATGATCCGAACGGGCTGGATCCTCGCAAATGAACCCACCAATTGAAATCCCATTGAAAGGATCCGGGAGGAGCAAGTTTCGCGGCGGTAAGTTCCTGAATACAAACGAACACGGGAAAACTGGGACGCGCTGAGAAATTGTTCGAGTTTACAGAAGTCTTCCGAGCTACCTCCGTCCACGCCAGTGTCGAATAGACACCTCGTTTGCCACTGCGAAATCACTTTGCCACATTTTTTCTTCTACCACGATGCCGCAGGACGTCCATACCATATGGAGTTGTTATCTATTTCGGTGCAGAGGTAAGTGCTTTCTTTTTACTTTGCTAGCTTTCGGAAACGAGATTTGGCAGTTTCGGGAGCCAGGTGACAGACATTCGGTCATTGAAACAGATCGAAACTAAGTACTTGGAAGCGAAAACGATAAAAATACATATTTGTATCGTAGAATTATTACACAAAAGAACACGCGCAATAAATAAAGAAAATTGATGTTTCTACTTACTTTAAGAAGTGCTTTATCATATGAGAAAGCAATTGATTCGATAATACTATCATAAACAGTAAAAAGGAGCAATAATTTTTCTAATAATATTATAAAATAAAATATATTATATATTCTAATAATATGGTGTATGTTGAATTGGATATATCTATATATATTCTATATATATTCAACATACACCATATTATTTGAAAAATTATTTATTTTATAATATAATTTTTCTAATAATATGGTGTATGTTGAATTATAGAATTATATATATATATATTTGTAATAATAGCTTCATTGATTTCCTTACATCTTCTTTCAACTATCCCTGTAACTTAACGACAACTTAATTCTATTATGATTACTAATATTTGTGATTCCTCTTCATCGAGGTTATATAATTTTATTTTATGGTATTTTGATGAAGAGGAATCATAAATATTAGCAATCACAATAGAATTAAATTATCGTTAAGTTACAGGGGTAGTTCAAAGAGGAAGATATAAGAAAACGAATGAAATTAATTATTAACATAAAAGTGACCAGTGTCTCAACTCCACTCTCGCCACAAAGAATCTAGCGTTCGACGAACGAAAAATTTCCCTCATCCTAGTTTTCCCAAATTGAATGACGAAAGTTGCGAATCCGCATAAATATCCACAGTCTGTTCATAGCGCACGTCCGAGCTCTCTCGAAGGATGACAAAATTCATCGCTTAGGAGTGCAGGGGGATCGATACTCGGCCAACAAATATTCCGGAGATCTTGAGTCATCCCGAGAAGGATCAACAACGAGCGCGACAATGCATCGTGAAAAAGCAGGGAACGGAGCAATCGTCGGACTGCGGTTCCAATCGGTCCGACTCTGTTCGACTCCGTTTCTTTCTCGACCAGGGGTGGACGGACGCTGGTTCCGGGGGTCCGAGACTAGACGACGGCAGCGAAGTTTTATTTGGCTAGACTGGACGGCGCCCTGGCTCCGGCTTTTGGCCGTTATCACGGAAGGGAGATGCTCTCGGCGAGAGCAACCGACAGAATTATTGGCGGAGAGGGCTTCGGCCGGCGGGAGGGGGAGGAGTCGCGACGGAAGCAACCCAGAAGGGATCAAGTCGAACAGATAAAACATTTATTGTTCGAAGGGGACCGCTGACAGCAATCGCGGGAGACCGAGGAAAGCGACCTACGAGCATAATTGCGCCGAGCATGAACCCAATGATTGCCGATAGCTGAGGACGACGTTGCGAGGAACCAACATGGCGGCCATGCTTCTGGAACATGGTGAGAATTTTCGCCAATTCGATTCACGGATGGAGAGGTCTGAAACAATTTCAAGCATTATTATTATTTATGCACAGTTTCGTTTGACTTCGGGTAGCGTAAAATGAGCGATACCGTCTTAACAAATTACCGTCCGGATGATTAAGAATGGACATTTTCTTGACTGCTCGCAAAATGCCGGAGAACTAGAAATAGTCAAAACTTAATAAAAAAAAAACTCAACAGTTGAAACTTTAATTTTGTTTTGAAAATAAGAACCCTTACACGTAAAGGTTCTCGCACAAACATTCTGGACCGTATTTTGTTAACGCTTCCGACGTTACATGCGGGTGACGGGAATTATTTGCTCTCGAAAGTTAATTTTAACGGCAATCTATTGTATCTTCGTAATTTTATTGGAATCGTCAAAGCCCAAGAATGTTAAAAGAGTAATAAGTGTCACACGATCAAACTACTTAATTTTAATCTGTTTAAATAAAGTACTTTAACTTCGTGAAATTTTTGAGTCGATTCAAATGCGTTGAAGCTTTCTGAGAAGCTTCTGCCAACGCAGAGAATTTGTTTATTGTTGCAAGTAATTTAAAAAGAGCAGCGTATAATAACCTTGGGAAGAGAAATTGTGCATGGTTTACTGGCAAAACGTGTAACAGATTCGATTTTGGATATTGTTTTCGCGAGGAATTTATTATCAGAATCGTGTTCGATTGCAGTATTTCGTCAGCGTTTTGACATTCCATAACGTCAGCTGTCCGAACGTGTTTTCCATCGAGTCAATGATTTCCTAGTACCGAACTGGTCGGGGGTATACAACGGCCACGTTTATGCGAGAACCGCGATATCGATTCTGAAATTGCGTTGCTCTTAATCAGAGCGAAGCTTGACATCCATACATTTGTGAAGCTTTTCGCGAGAACCCCCAAATGTATGATTCACCATTGGCTAGATTAATTGGAATGATTTCTAGGCTTGATCGAGGTATTGTTTAATCCTATCCCACACGTTCCCAACCGAAGCGCTATGAAAATCGAAACTGGGAAAACTATTGTTCCATCTGGCACGATTGAAAATTAGCTGGCGTTCTTCTGGCAGATGTAGATAATTGACACTTCCTATTTTATCGGCAATTTTTCACATGAAATCTTTGAATATTCATTGCGAATACTTGTAAATATTAATTCAACTATTATCGTTGCTTACCAACGAGAAATCAACTGATAATAAATCTTCTAAGAGTGAACACAATTATGCGAAATGGAAACAAATTATTTGTTAGTTTAATCATTTCACATGAAAATATTTCAATTAAAAGAGTATTAAATACTTCATTAAATTATATAAGTGTGGAGTTAAAATATTAGAATCAATTAGTTTATTTATACAATGCTCCACGTTCTTTCGTCTGTAGAGCAGCGAAGCGTTCGATTTCTTTCTGTTCGTCTTGTAAAATAAATTTCTCAAAGCTGTGAGATCATGAATGAAAGATAACATGTTGTTTCAAAGTGTTAAGCTTAAATTGACGAAACATTATTAAATAATATTTTGCGCGGGACTCTGTTGGGGAATCAATTGTATCGATGTAATCGGTAAAGCTTTGAAAGGAATCATAGTGCAAGGGGTGAAGTATTAAAGAAGACGATTACTTGTTCAGAAGGACGAAAGAGGGCAGCGGTAACACTGGCCGACAAAATCAAACTCTTTTTCTGGGTTCCTATAGCCACTATGAAATTCTTGTAGAGCTTCACTCCCTGAACAAGAATCCGTAAACCGAATTGCTCCATCACCCTCAGTTTTTTAAATAAACGAACTTTTGTAGAAACCCAAAATTTTCGACAAAAATGAGGTATTTCATGAAAAGTAAAAACGTTACAAAGTTCTAATTGGTGTTAAAAGATAGAGAAGAGTTCCTCGAATATAGTGGCATGCAATTTATTAATTGTTTTTGGTCCTAAATAGCAATGAATTGATGTCAAAGTTTAAAAAAGTGTCGACGTGAGCAGTTTCTGCGCAATACTTTTACGAAAAGTTCTTTGTTCAGCACAAAAACTCTACCCAGGATCGGATTCTGTAGACATTTCTGAAGAA